TACGTAGAACTCCAACTCATGGATGCGTTCAATGGCCGCATCCTCTCGTGTCCAGGCTTCATTCCTCAACTCGGTATTCTTGGTGATGTCCCTTTCCATTTCCGCCAGCTTCTCTTGATCTTTAGCATGAGCTCGACGAAGAGTGTTGAGCTCCTTGGTAAGGTTCTCAATGTTGGCGGGATTGCTTGAAGATCCTTCATCTCCTAGGGCCTTGGAACTTCCTTCACCAAGCTCACGGTTACGCGGTGCCAACTGGTGACGAGGGACTCCGTGAGGTCCAGTGGACTTGCGTGCAGTTATCTTGGTCTTTGCCATAGCCTGTAGAATTTAGGAGGGGACTATAAGGATAGCTTGAGGATAATAGAGGTTAGCAAGAATGGGATTGATATTTCTTACCCAACCACTTTTAAGGGGAATTATTATGCAAGGTGTTCAAGCATGATGCATGAATCGATCTTACGAATCCGAGTACAAAAGATTTATACAATCAAAAGTACTAGATTTTTAAAATATAGGACAAACCTAATCATATTATCCGCCACAAACTTTCAAATAAGATAGGATTGAGGCTAGATCAGAGGTAAGAAGAGTGAAATTTGGACTCAAAATATCCAGTTTAATTTCTTTGATCCAAATTAGTTTGAAGGTTTTCAAAAGCAACCTACAATGATCTTAGATAGGACCTTCTCTGATACCAGCTGTGGCAGAACCTCCTAAGAAATTGGGCCCACGTGCACCTATCGGTATCTCAACAGACCTTAGATAGCGTACACAAGTTCCCAACAACTTAACAGATCTGTTGGGTGTCCTCGGGAAACCCGAATCATCCACGAATCTTTTCCAAACAGGATCCCAATCACAGTCATTGCAGATTACAACAGTTTTCAATATACATACCAGAGATTATAAAGCGGAAGACTTAAGTTTTGATATTACAAACCAGTTGTTTCAAACTTACAAAACCATACGTGTCATACAACCATAGTAGCGGGATAATATTACATTAACATTATTTATTTCACACAAACTAGTGCCTTAAACAAAGGCCATTCATCATTCCTCATCGTCATCGACTTCAAACACTGACATGCAGCAGGGACCAAAACAAGCCTGCGCATGCGACTCACCTGCAACAAGGGTTAACAAACCCTGAGTACAAAAGTACTCAACAAGACTGACCCAACGAAAAAGGGCGAAGGTCTTAGGGATGCAGGTGTTGGGTCAAGGTAAGGATGTAGAAAGTTCAAAAGTTCTTTGCCAAAAGCTTACTATTCTTGATCCTAGTTTCAAGTTTTACCCCTAAGTACTTTAGTTCAATATCTCAAACTAAGTGTTCATATCCTATGTTCCAATCCTTCTCATTCCATTCCTTTTCTCAAGTTTTAGTAATTCACCAGTCCTACATTGCTTCTGTAATGAATCGAGTCTCCATATCCGTGGAGCACCGGCAATTCAAATCGATTCAAGTCCCAGCTGGGGATTCCTTATCACACGACATATGTAGAGCTTAATCTTGCATATATCAACCTCGCTACTGGATCCTCCCGTACTAAGCCGTCTCCACGCCACCCGAGAGCACAGCACGCCTCAAATCCGGCCACATTCAAGCCACGAGGGTACACGCTACTCCCGCCATCTCACCACTCCCAGTGCGTGGGCATTCGTCTTAGTATCGGTTTAGCCGAAGTAGGCTTACCGGAGTATGTGACCAGTACTACAAAGTGTCTCGTTCAGAAGATCCACAATGAGTGGCCTTTAAGCGACATAGTCGGCAACATTACCCAACATTCAAGATAAGCCACCCGACTAGTCTCTAGTTCATTCTATCTTCTTTCTTTCGTTCTTTCTTTCTTTGGCCAATATGCCATCTTTGATCGTATCGAAACTTTTACTTTGAAAGCCTACCATAAAGCATACTAAGCATTCTACGCCTTTGTAAATGAAATCATCTTCAAGGATGGTCAACAATTAACAAGGTAAGTAATGCATCAAGTAGGTAACATTTGAATTAATCAACTTAATGCAATAGGTAACATAGGTGATAAACTTTTCAAAGTAAACAAGGTAATGGTTTAATGCATAAACCGAGGCTTGCCTTCGTTGATGATCTCAGGTTCTGGATCAGCACCACTATTATCGAATCCCGTGACAACCAGGGATGCTTCCAGAACTTGCTCAACTAGAATCGGTTCACTCTCGGATTCTACACGAAATAATAGCATATGCTTCAACATGATGATAATGTAAACATGATGCTTTCATGGTGCATGAAATATAACAACACCTTGAATGCAACTTTCCTTCACGGTACAGTTATAAGCCAAACTAATCAAACCATATTCGTAACGGATGTGACCACGTCAGCACCGACCACTCCGGCGAGCTCTCCGACCGCTTCGGCGAACTCTTCGACCACTACGGTGAACTCTCCGACCACTACGGTGAATTCTCCGACCACTACTCTTGAAACCCTACTGGTCACAAAACATGATCAAAACAAGATCAAACACTAATCAAACACTTAGGGTTTGCTTTTATTTATTTTTGAATCAATATGGAAATAAGCCCAAAATAAACTTGTCCCAAATGACCTCAAAATTTTATGTAAGCTTCCTCATGACAAATTAGTGTACCAAAACAAATTTCCAAAGATTCAGCACTATTCAAAATCAGAAGATATAAAATTTCACTGTTCTTCTCCTTCCTTCTCACTGACAGCCCAACCCCACCCGTCAGTGACCCATACATGTCACGGCGGCGCTGCCATCACTGGCCGGCCCCAAAATGCGCCGACGGTGACGCTCCGGCGAGGTAGACCTCACCCAAATAATCTACACACCCCTACAAACTCATCCTCATTCTTAGAATAGCAGAAGGTGCACCGGAGAAGACTCCACGCCGGCCATGGCGGCTCAAGCACGTCGGCTCACGACGTAACCCCGGCAAGAATGCGGTAGAGTCAAAAGTGAAGTGCACATCACGTTCAGTAGCTCACCACGGTCACGCCGGTGGACTTGGTGAAGGCGGAGACGGTCTAGAATGGCCTGACCACGTCGAGGCGATGGTGGCGGAGCTTCGGCCGGGCTCGGGGAAGAAGCTGTTGCGCTGGGCGATTCCGGCCAACTCAAGCGGCGTGAGCAAGTCGTAGAGAAGCGCAAGACTGAGGCAATCGCTTTGGCATAACTGGGCACGACGGAGGCTGCTCGACGGTGGCAAATTTCGCGAGCACAGTGAGGTCGGCGGCGGCGAGCAGAGGCAGGAAAAGAGGAGACGGACGACGACGGTACGGCTATTTATAGCCAGGAGGAGCTCGTCTGGCTTCGACAGCACACGACGAAGATGCCACGGCGATGATGACGTGCCAGGACGCGAGGAAGCGGCGCAAAACGCTCGGCGGCGGCAGCGGCGTGGCGCCGGCGGTAAGTGGTGATGTAAATCTTGATTTTTGAATTATTTACAGAACTGCCACTGAGTCTATTTTTTTCAAATTACTCCCAAATTTTTTTAAAGAAGTTGAAAATCTTCAAAAATGAAAGTTGCTCAACTTTTTAAACTCTACAACTTTGCTTCAAGGAATATTTTCAAATTCTGACTCCATTTTGAAATTTGAATTTAGGGTGCATTTGAGTATTTGAATCATTTCAAAATTACTCCAAATTTTATATGTAAACTTGAAAAACTTTGAATACCAAAGTTGATGCACATAAAATAATCTTCAACTTTGCTTTTTGCCTCAATCCCAACTTCCACATGGATTTTGAATTAGTCAAAAGGGGCAAAAAGGACTTTTATAATTTGAATTTGAATTCAAATTTGATTTGTCTTTCTTTTACCTTAATTTTGATTTTTGACCAGTACATGGCCCATTAGGGTTATTTGAGTCAAATGACATATGACCTCACATGATCACATGAATTTTGACCCTTGTAGTCATGATCTTTATTTAGGATTTTGAATCACATCACATGAAATAACAACATTATGAAATAAACCTTATTTAGTTAATGCATTCAAAATTTTCTACTCTATAAATGCTTTGCAATGCATATGATGACATGTCAATTTTTAGTGTTAGGTCGAAACACCAAAGGTGTTACATAAGTGACACCCCGTTACAAGTTCAAGGGTCTCTCATGCATTTAACTCTAAAAAATATACACATACAATGATTTGAGCATCTTGTATGTTCTTTTAAAAGGATTGGAGCACCTCTAACAGATTACCTAACCCCTATCTCTTAAAAGTCTATAGGAGTGATCATCTATTATTAGTAGTGTAGTATTTTTTTCTGCTTCAACAGATTACCAATACGATTGGATAGGGCCCGAGAGGTGACAGATCTCCTACATTTGAGAGAGTTGGAGGTGCATTTTAAATAACTATTTATAACTTTTAGGTATTAGATTAGAGATAGGACGAGTAATCTGTTGGAGCAATCATAATCCCTTATATTACATTTTTGTAAGTATTGGAGATGGAATAAGTAATTTGTCGGAGATGCTCTTAGGGCACCTTATTAGTAAGAGTCAGTTACCGACTCTTAGATGATATTTCATCCTATATGCCTCATATATTCTTTCTCATGTCAAGAGAAAGATAGAGGAGTTATATCTCTTATTATGCATTGGGACACGTAAAGAGCTTAGTTTTTCTCTTCCTGCTAACTTAAAGATTGTTACTCCATCTGTATCATAATACAAGACCTTACATCTAATTACTATATGCACCCTCCACTCGATGCACACAGTGCATGGATAGCAACAGAAAGGTCATATTCGTTTCTCTTATAATCCGTCTTTTTCAGCTTGTTTTTTTTTCAGTCGGAATAGTATTTTTCTCTCACAACAAATCAGCCGGAATAGTACTTCGGCTCGTTTTTTCTGCGAAGTGAACGGGGCAAAGTGTGCGCACATGGGCGAACAGGGATGCTACAGTCACATTGTACTACTTTACTGACGCACAATGCTTTTGTGGTGAGGTTAACCAGGTAATTTCCATTGCTATTTTTTTTTCTTGGGAAGCTCCGACGTCCACATTTCTGGAACAGATGTCTCTTTTTCGTCATGGCATCTGTTATTAGGCCCATTCGCTGGTTGGTGCTGGTGCTGGTTTTTTATGAGAGAAAAATACTGTTAACTAGAGCTGGCTGAAACACCCGTCCCCGTACGGGTTGGTGACCGTGCCGGCGAGGAGGGCGGCGAGGCTGACGACCATGCCGTCGACGCCGGCGTCGCCGTTGGGCGGCACCAGCGGTGGGGTCTGGGGACCGTACGTCGGCCGGTGGAACGGCCACGCGCACTGGCCGGGGCACTGCTGCGCCGCGTTTCCCGCCCACAGGTAGGTGTACCGCGCCCGGCCCTGCGCGCCGCCGCGGTCGTGGTCGTGGACGCCGCACCGCGACACGCAGAAGGACGCCACGGGGACATCGGCGGCCGTGAGCACCGCGGTGATGGCGCCCCGGTGGTGCCCCACGGCCCGCGCCAGTGCCGTGACGTTGCCCAGCGAGAGCGGGCCCCGGCCCGTGCCCAGAGAGATGAGCTCGTCGAGGACGATCTGCCTGCCGAGCCGCAGCCGCGCGCCACCGCCACCGCAGCGGTACAGGGAGGTGGTGCGCCACCACGACGCCACGGACGGCGGTCCCGCTCCCGGGCGAGGCGCGGCGGCCGAGACCGAGAGGGAGCGGACGAAGTCGACCACGATCGCGCGCTGCGCTGTAGAAGGGCAGGTTGACGGTGAGGTTCCCCGTGAGCAGCGCGCCGCCGTGGTCCCGCAGCACGATCGGGTCGGGCTTCACTAGGAACAGCATGCGCGGGTTCAACGCCGCGCACCGCGGCGCCGCCCCGCCCAGAAGGGCGACGACGGTGAGGACGAGGCGGATCAGCAGCGTCGTCATGGACGACGCCGGCTTCTTGCGCCCGCCCATGGGTTCCGCGAGCCGACCGAGATCGGAAATGAGAATTTGATCGAGGCTTGCGCGCTGTTTGTGAGGTGTGTGATCGAGCTCTGAGCTCCCGCACTTGGGCTATCTAGCTCGTGGCCACAGCGGGTTTATATATCCGGCCGGCTGGAGCCTGTGGGCGTAAAGGCGACGACGTGAGGAAGGTGTGCCGTGCGCATGTGTGGCGGCCTCGGCGCCAGGGCCGTGGAATTAAGAAGCGCATGACGCGCGCGTGCATCAGCTCCGCGGTTTTGGATTTCAGGCGCCGTTCGATCACAGACGATGCACGTAATGTCATAACGTGATTCGGAACCTGGGAATGGAAGATGCCGATGATAGTGAGGGCGACGAAGCTTTTGGGCTGCTGCCACTTGGGGTACCAAACTGTAAGCCCATTGGCTAAGAACGGGCTAAATGGCTTGTAGAGGCCCATTAGCGAATGTAACTGGGCCAACGAAAGCATAACCGCACCCCCACACGATTTTGTCGCCATCCTGCAGGGCCCCAGTCTCCGAGAGACTGACACACTTCACACGTGCGCCATGTGTCACCCTCAGAATCGTGCCTTACGTAGTTACGTGTCATTCCGCGATGCACGCATGGCGTGCTGTACCTATACGGCAGCATGGGACGGATCTCTCCCTCACGTGATCCCGTCGTGGAGTCGTCGTCGTCAACCCCTAGCCGATAAGCTTCCCGGTCTCTAGATCCACCTGCCACACGCGGCCCCTTGCGTGGTCTCCGTTCGCTTCAACTTATTAGCCGGTTTATCAGTTAGAATCTATAATATTTTTTTTCTCATAACAAATCAGTCAAGACCGGTTTATCAACTGACTTTAATACCAGCCGAATAGGCCCTCAATCTCTCGGAACACGTCGAAGGATGAACATGCAAGCACCGCGGTTAGCGATGAAAATGGTACACAAATATTTCATACCAAACCGCATTATTTTCTATATTTAATCCGATCGGATTTGTATTTTCGGATGAATTCAAATTCGGTTTGAAATTCGCAACATCAAATTCGAAATCGGAATAAAAACGGTTCTGATATTTTTCCGACTGTTCTTACTTTTAATTGAAAATATTCCGAATTAAAAATTCGGTTTAAACCAAATTTAGCCCACTAGAAGTTCAGCCTTAAAAAATTGTATATTTTCTATACGATCTCGGATGAAAATAATTTTTATATAAAAATTATAGATCTATAACTTTCTAGTTTCTAGTTTTTTCATTTGAGGTCTTTAAGACGTTCAAAAAAATTAAAAAAAATTCAGCGTATATTAATCGCTTATAAGCGCTTGTTACTTGAGAAAAATCATATCTTTCTTACTTGGTGTTGAATGGAGATACTTTTTAAGAAAGTTATAGGACTTGTTAATTAATATTCACTTGTTAATTGTTATGCACCTAGTCCTACGGATCAATATTCCGTATTGATTTTTTCTATACCGACCGTGTTCAACATAGTTCCGTTCGAATTAGTTTATTTTCGAAATTATCGATATTCTATATGTTCGTATTCGGCTTTACCACTTTTACTTTAGTTTTCATATTTAAATGTAAAAGTAGAAAAACCGTTTTCATCCCTAACTGCAGTACACGATGCTAAAGCTTCAACCACATGTCCTTTTATTTAGCACTGCCCGCCACGACAACACGTTACGTATGATATGTACATACTGTACTGTTCAGTATTTACATATACCAACACTTAAAGCTCGAGATCCGTCGCTTCGGCTACACTACACCAGCGTCGAGCACGCCGACGTGTCGGGGTCGAACAGCGCCGGGAGCAGGTACTTCCTCCCGCGCGCGCCGTGCGCGTTGTAGCTGGCTCCCGTCGCCGCGTCCACGAGCAGCTGCCCGGCGTACCCGGGGTACGCGCCCTTGCCGTACACGCCCTCGCACGCCGTGGCGGCCTCCAGAGGCGCGGCGCTGTCGCCCTGGTAGAACCCGTCGCCGAACGGGTTGGTCACCGCGCCGGCGACCATGCTGGCCACGCTGATCACCACGCCGTCCATGCCCGCGTCCCCGCTAGGCGGCACCAGCGGCGGCGGCGCCTGCGGCCCGTACGCCGGCTGGTGGAACGGCCACGCGCACTGGCCCGGGCACTGGTCGGCGGGGTTGCCCACCCACGCGTACGCCGCTTACGCCGCGCGGGACCGGGAGCGGGACCGCGCGTCGGCGTATGAGTACGACCCATGGTGGCCGCACCGGCTCATGCAGAAGCCCTCCACCGCCACGTCCCGCGCCGTGAGCACCAGCGCGACGCCGCCAGCGCTGGAAGCTGGGACAGCTTCAGGCTCTTCCCCAGCGAGCAGCCCTCGTCGGAGACCTGGCCCGACAGGATCACCCGCGCGTTCTGCTTGGAACCGCCGCGGCCGCCGTGTGCGCCGTTCTTGCTGACGGCCGCCTCCGCCTTGGAGAGGTAGAGCTGGTTGATGCTGCTCCACCACTGGGCAACGGACGGCGCGGGGGACGATGACGACGACGACGGCCCCTGTGGCGCGGCGGAGGAGAGGGAGAGGAGGAAGTCGGAGACGACGGCCTTCTGGGCCGGCGTGAAGCGGCCGTACCAGAGGATGGAGACGGGGATGTCGCCGCTCAGCACGGCGCCGTTGTGGTACGTGAGGAGGTTCGGCTGTGGCTGGACCAGGAACATGAGCTTCCTGCAGATCGCCGTCGACGGCACGGCCATGGTTGCGGCGAGCGCCATCAGTAGCAGGAGGACACTGTGCTTGGCCATTTGGTCTGGAGTACAGGACTCACACGAGAGAGGGAGGCTAGAATTTTGGAAGAATCTTGGCTTCTCCCTGGATCCGTTTGGGAAGTGGTGTTTTCGAGTGTGAGGAGCAAAGCCAAGTTGTGAGAGCTGCTTATATAAGAGAGGTGCCTCGCACAGACTTGACTTAAATTGAGTGTTAGTCTCCGTATTGTACTATCAATATCGATCGATAAGACGATAATTAAGCATGCAAAAAGAAATCACCTTGTGATACATTTGGGCCCTATATTTACAGTGTTTCATTTCAAGCACCAACTCGTTCGCTCCTATATAGTCCTATTCCGAAACTGATCTAGGAGTGTTTTTATAGTACTCCTACCTAACAGTTCACTCAGAACTCAGAAGGGTGGTTTCCGTGTTTAATAAAGAACCAAACAGTTCACTGAAAAGGGTTAGCGGTTCAGGAAAGAATGGGCTTTCCCTTCGATGCCTCGAACCATTTCCCTTTAATTTTTTTTGTAAGGTTTCATCAAACCTACTCCGATCCTACCACGAGCGTCACGGTCAGGAACTTGTGCGCAGGCATGCAGGACATGCCCGCTTTGGGCACCACTAAAATATAATGGGTCTTTGCTATTGCTAGCCATGCAAGTATGGACACCACTGAAGAGGGAATGCTAGTTTTTTTTTTCTTAACTGCATTATTAGAGCAAGTATAATAATAGGTGGTAAGCTGGCTAAATGCTGAGGTAGAGGAAAAAGAAGAGGAGAGAGATGAGAAGCGGTTACAGCCCGTTTCGGCACGAGAACCAAGAAACTCCTTTTTTGCGAATTACACAAGTATAAACACAGACGCTCAACACGTACGCACACTTAACTCTATGAGCACACGTACGCAAACCCTACCCCTACAGCACATCCGCAAGACTGTGCTAGCACATCTCGAGATTGACGAATTCACCACAGGCGCCTTACTGTCGACGGGAACGTCGCCTACCACTGAAAGCACAACGCCGTTAATACCTGGAATAAATGTAGGGAAATGCAAGCACCCATGCTAAGTCGATGACTTGAATTCGGGTGGGCAGGTTTCACCATAAGGAACATAACCAACTGACCTAGGCTCAGTTCGCAAGACAAAAAAAAACTCTATAAAAGAGATACGTGGTCCATGTATGAATAGTGAAGACCTTACTATTATATGAGTGGATTAAGAGAAGGCTATGAAAACATTACAGCCAGCAGCCGGCTGTAGCTGTTAGCCTTGCTCTTAAGCGAGCATGAACGCTGGTGTCCGAGGATTATTAGGACGTGAACCGACTTGAAATTATAATCATCACCGGGGCCCGGCCGGGCCGTGTACGTGGAGGTCATACAAATGTACAGTAGTACGTAGCATTGATCGGGGACCACGTATAATTGGATGGCCCTCATTATCATCATGATGCTTTTGAGACGGCAGTTCTGTTGGAACGTTCCACGACAAGGAAAGTTGTCTCCTGGACTTGACGTAGATTGATAAATACCTCTCCATCATTATTGATTCGTACGTACGGAGTATGTATAGTAGTACTCGTATACATGCATGCACGCGTGAACAATCACGGTCCACTGCCCCATACTCCCATCACAGTACCAGCTGGATGCCGCTACCTATTTTTATGTGTTTAATTATTTATTTATCACCATTATATTTTTTCTGAAGTGGTATATATCGACTAGTGAAACGAACCTGAACGATTCTTCAGGCTGTACTATTGATTTCTTGAGATAGATAATAAACGAATAGCTACCGTTGTTTATCACCCAATTCAAAATTAATCTTCTCTGTCGTCTAAGTTCATGACTGACAGAAGAGCGAAGTAACCTGGCTTGAATATGTCTGAGTCCAAAATCGAAATGAAAAACAGGATATTTGGTTGACAATTTAGGGCCCGTTTAGTTCCACCCAAAACCCAAAATTTTTTGCGCAGTATCCATCACATCGAATCTTGCGGCACATGCATGGAGTATTAAATGTAGACAAAAAAAACTAATTACACAGTTGGGTGAGAAATCGCGAGACGAAACTTTCGAACCTAATTAGTCCATAATTAGACACTAATTACCAAATACAAACGAAAATGCTACACTACCCAAAACCAAAAATTTTTGCCAACTAAACAGTCCCTTATGTCAAGAAAAAATAGGGGGGCAATAGCTTCGAATTCAGATGACCAAAAGCTATAGCTTATCCTTCTGGCTAACCTTCTCTAGCCACCAAACAAAGGCGCTTGGACCTGCCACTGCCGCTCTAGACTAGTAGGAGTGTACTAGCAAGTCTGCAAGTGTATATAATCCGATCGATGATTGATTTTAGGCCCCATCCATCCGACCACCCCCCTACAAGGCTAAAGTGTGAAGTGTGATTGATGGAGCTTTATATAGCTCCATGCATGGCCGTATAACCTAATCACAAAAGGCATCCGTCAACAAGGGTTACCGGCAAAGCAAAGATTAAGCTCGAGAGGCCATCATGTAATCCATTCCCGGCACAGCTGGAGCCTGTTCACACTGCACAGAGCCACAGACGTGTCGGCCTGAGACACTTGGGGCATTTTTTATATGGGTGCTCAGGCCGGCCTGGCCAGGACAGAGTCTGGTCCAAACGGTACAGATGATCTTATTTAATTTGATTGTACGTCCGAGCAGAGCCGAGTTGAATTGAGGCCCCGTTTAGATCAAAAAATTTTTGTATTTTGATTCACTGTAGCATTTTGTTTGTATTTAGTAATTAGTGTTTAGTTATGGACTAATTAGGTTTAAAAGTTTCGTCTTATGATTTCTCATCCAACTGTGCAATTAGTTTTTTTTCGTCTACATTTAGTACTCTATGCATGTGCCGTAAAATTCGATACGACAGATACTGTGCAAATTTTTTTGAATCTAAACAGCCATGAGAATATGTTTTTTACCTGTAAAGAAAGAGTATGGCTACCTTGTACAAGCATGCGGTAGCCTTACCACCACCGCATGCTCTTCTCAGCACTCCTCACAGCCATTTCATCGAGCAGGTCATGGACACGAGCTAGTCCAGCGCCAAGAATGGAGAAGCCGGGGGAATCTGGTGTAGAGGCGGTATTGTCGCGGTGGCGGAGGCACCGCAGCCGGCTAGGCGCGACTCGGCGCGGCGGCAGCGCCTCCCTCGTCGCGCCCTGCTTCGCCGCCGAGGCTGCCTACAAGGCCTGGTGGTACGCCACCTCCGCCGACCGCGTCCCGTTCTTCGCCAACGACGTCCTCAGCGACGTGCTCGCCTGCTCCCTCGAAATGGCCTCATGGATGTACCGCGGCACTGTCTACCTCCTTACCTGCATCCTCTTCCGCCTCATCTGCCACCTCCAGAGGCTCAGGCTCGAGGACTTCGCGCGGCTCGCTGCTCGAGGAGGTCGAGGAAGGCCGCGCCGGCGTGGATACCATGCTCAGAGAGCACCTCAACATCCGAAAGCAGCTCTCAAGGTCATCAGCCATCGCTTCTGCAAGCAGCTTAACATCCGTGGCAGCGGCACCACACGAGCGCGGGGCGTCGCAGAGGACGTGACGGAGCTCGTCGCGGGAGATGAAGCCGTTCTTGTCCTGGTTGAAGACGCGTAATGCCTCCCAGAGCTCGTCCTCGGCGACGGCGACAGTCACGCGCGAACGCAGTCGTCTCGGCGCGCCGGCGACCGGATCTGCGCGCCGGCGGCGGCGCCACACGCGCACGCTCTGCTCGGCGCGGCCACCAACGCGAGAGCAGGACGTGCAGTCACCAGCGCGAGGTCAGGACGAGCAGTAGTGCGAGCTCGCCGTGTCCCCGCGTCGGTGACAGAAAAACCGGTGGCGAGACCGTGAGTCTTTCACCCAGCCCAGGAGGTGACTCCAGGCCATGCGAGAGAGCTGAAGGGAGCCGGGCTGAAAAAAACGGACTTCAGCTTCGTTTTTCCAAAGCCAAGAGAGAGAAGCAATTTTGCACGCCGCTGCCCTGGTCCGATGGTGGGACCAAGATATCAAACAAGGCGGGTTGCAGCCCCAGGGCTCAGCCAGGCCGGGCCTGATATCAAACAGGCCCTTGCTGACTCTTGGGGCCGCAAGTTTTTTTTTTGAGAAACTACCACGACATGGGGTTGAGAGCAGCGTCCCGCGGGTGATCCATCACACAGGCCCAAACTGCGTGTATTGGGCTAGAAGCACCGGACCCGGTGCAGCCATACAGGTGCGCGAGACGTGTCCGTTTCCCCTTCTTTTCTCTACCCGCATTGGGCCTTGCCCCGGCGACTTCGCCTGCCACCCCACCACATCCGCAGCCTCTCCTTTTTCACGAATCAGTTTTTCTCGCCGACAAGCAGCTCAACACCCGCAGCCCGCAGGAGAGAATCCCGGAGGAGCAGGAAGTGGAGCAGCAGCCGTCGGGGGAAGAAGATGTCGTACCTGCTGCCGCATCTCCACTCGGGGTGGGCGGTGGATCAGGCCATCCTCGCCGAGGAGGAGCGCCTCGTCATGATCCGCTTCGGCCACGACTGGGACGAGACCTGCATGCAGGTGTCGAGCAACATCCTAACCCTAGATCCTAACCATCCTTGATCTGTGGCTGTGCGATTCTCTTGCGTATGTTTTTTTTGTTCTACTTTTGGGGGGTGGCGATGCGGGCTGTGCGGTTATTGATTTCGTGGAGGTGGAGGCTGCGCGTAGTTCAGGAAAATTGGGGGTAAGGATTTCTTCCCGTGGGCGTTGCAGTAGGCTGTTCGAGTTGTGAACTGTAACAGTTTTGCTGCTTTAGTTTCTGCAATCCGTGCTGCCTTCATGTTAACTACTAGAACATTAGGCGCCCTGCCATGATCATCTGACCAAACTTATAACTACTAAACTACGTGGCCAGAATTTAGCGATTTTAATAAAAGGATGAACTATTTTGAAACACAGGCTCCAATTTGAAGGGGAGCACGCTTTAGTGTGCCAGTGGTATCTCTCAGCATCTCCGTCACTCCATATAGGTCTTTCCCTGAAAA